AATGCTTCAAGTCTGGATTTAAAAATATTAATATTTGGAGATGCTTGGATCGAGACATCGAGGTGATTAAAAACTCTGCATCCCAAGTGCATATTAATTTATATGTTATTGATTATTCACACCTATATTTCCCCGGTTTCTACTTATATTACGGAATGTTTGAAATGAAAAATGTTTTACTAGTATTAATAATGAAACGGTTATTTTGACCAAACTATTTTTATCGCAATCCTCCCAGACTTTTTTTCCGTCATCCATCTAATGATTTGAAAAAAAATGCGTGCATATGGCCTACATTCAAAACCGTAACAGAAGATGAATAAATAGATAGAAGGTAACTACCGTGGGAGATAGTTCGAGGAAAATTTACATTTTCATCGGTTGATAATATGCTGGGGTTCTTTTGTGGAGAGCTTGTAACACTTTTTCTCTGTTATTATTATTTATTCATCTCTCCTTTCATAGAGCATAAACATTTCCTGATAATAGATTTTACAGGATTTTCCATGAAGAATTGATCAAAAATCCTCGATTTCGAGAGTGCACCAACAATTTTGAACTAATATTTGTTGGAATAAGAGTCCGAATTTTACTTATTCGAGTAAGATCTTTTTTGTTTTACTAGAAACGAATAATATTTTCAACGTCGAATAACATTTATGGTCTCCAGTTTTCACTGATCATCTCATATAGCTTCAGTACTAAAACACCCTGTAAGTAATCAATCATAAAACCGTTATTAACTCCAGCTGAACAAGGTGATCAATTCTTTGATATCAAATCCCCAAATCCACAGTTGCGATTCATGGTTGTGTTATAATTGTATTTTGATGAACTTTTCGTGACGAAATTATCAAACACTTGAAGAGATAACACTAATGTAGCACTAATATAAATGACTAGCTACGTGTTTTCCATCATCGACAATAATATCGTTAGTACGTGAATTCATCGACGGATTATCTTTGAACACACTCCTTATTTTCGGCAATATGACTACTGCAGATATGGAAGAGGTCAAAATAAAATTTCATCTGAAGAAATTGATCTGTTCAGTTGTGTCTACAAAATTACTTTTAATTTTCATTTTGTAACTTGTTGAAGATTTGGAATACAAAGTGAACACTCCGGGTTGAAGTTTCCATTTGTTTTGTTAGTTTTAGTCAGCGCGGAACAAATTCAAAAAATCTGGGGTCTACAAAC